GGATATTTACTTATATTCACTTAACGATCTCTCTCTCTCTCTCTCTCTCTCTCTCTCTCTCTATATATATATATATATATATATATATATATATATATATCATTTAATAGTAATAATAATCCAATGTTAAATGTCGTATTCGATTCTATTCATTTTCATCACAGATTGCCGCTGTAATAGGCAATCTTCGTCGTTGCATCGTATGCAAGGCTAAGATGCATTAGGAATACTGTAGAGTTTCTCACACGGGAACGTGCACGATAGAGAGAGAGAGAAAGAGAGAGAGAGAGAGAGAGAGAGAGAAAGAGAGAGTGTCAACGCGAACTTTGCCTCGAAGTCTCGCTAAGTCAATTATGCGCTAAGTATAACCGTATAAAATCACGGTTACCATCGTAATTACATGGAGATCCGAGTGGCAAGACTATAAGCGAATATAGCGTAATATAGCACGACGAGTGGGTATTTTGTTGATAAGAAGAAGAAAAAAAAAAAAAGAAAAAAGAGAAAGAAAAAAGTCGATAGATAGCGGTAACATGCACGATGGACAATAATAAAAAAGAGTAAAAAAAACGGAACGAAAGAGAGGAAACAGAAGGGGGGAAAAAAGGTGAAAAAAATCAAATCATTTCCTGTAATAATATTTAATCGGATATGTGTAGGTGTGATCATTCGTTTTTTCGTTTTTTTTTTTGTCGTTTTTCCAAAAGTCCGTATCGTCAAAATGCATGCAAACCTATACAAACATATACACACACATACCTGTACATTCACCCATAGAGATTCCTATATACATACAGAACAAGAAAGATAGAGAGAGAGAGAGAGTGAGAGAGAGAGAGAGAGAGAGAGAGAGAAAATATCAGAGTAGTTTTGCAAACGAAAAACACAGCGTATATTCGTGCCGAGTAAAAAAGAGAGTATTCACCCGTTCGTATCTCTGAGCAGACGAGAAGTAATTCCATAAGTGAGAGTACCCTCATAGGTTAATTATGCGTTTCGTAAAACGGTCTAGACTACCGTTTTACCTTCCTTGACATGCATATGAGCCTAACGTTTTTTCTACGGCTAACATTTTTTCATAAATGAGAAATAGGAAGAGGGGAGGGAGGGGGTGGGAAGAGGGAGGGAGAGGAAAAAAAGAGGGGTTATTTTTCTCATTAAAACGATTCAGACCTTTTTTCCATTTTAATTGCAAAACGAATAATATCTTTAAAAATATACGAGATTTCACTCTCTCTCTCTCTCTTTCTTTCAAAATCATTAAACGTATGAGAAATGCTTTATCAATCAGATTTAGACGAATTATTTTTTCATTATTTCGACGATAAAAATGATATAATTTTTATCGCAGGGACTCTGAATAGATTCACATATGAGAAAGAGAGAGAGAGAGAGAGAGAAAGAAAAGAGAAAACGTGACAAGGCATCACTGTCATAATTTCAAGATATGTATCTTTGATTTTATTTTTCTCTCTTCTTTTCTCTCTCTCTCTCTCTCTTTCTATCTATTTCTATTTCTGACTCTTTCTCTCTTTTAAATAAAAATCCATGCGTCGAATTAATTCAACGGAAACGCTATGTCATCGTCAAATATGCAAATCTTTCTAGCGAACCACATATATCAAACGAAACTACGAGATATATATATATATATAGGTGCAATGAAAAAAAAAAAATAAAAAACTAAAACGAAAAAGTAGAGAAAAAAGAACGTAACAGTCATTCGGACTATAAATCATTTCGATACGTTTCAATGCGAGCGTTAACAATATAATACGATACAAATCGAACATTTTATTTCATTGTTAGATCCTTTTTAATTTTTTTTTTCTTTTTTTTCTATCTTTTTTAATTCCATCGTACAACGTCGGTATCAATCGTTTTTCGTACGGATTATTAATGGAGACACAAAAGGAATAAAATTCTTCATAATTTTATTATAAATATCGGTATGCTTTAAATAACCTTATAGCGTTTACATAGATTTTTTGACCATAGAATTATACAAACTATTTGTCCATGATAGTAATATATTCTTTATGATAGCGTGATAACACTATCTATTTGCGTTGATCAGTATTATTATTAATTAATATGTAAGTATATTAATAAAATATTTTGTCAAATAAATGATCGGTGTATCTATATGTGAATATTTTGATCGGTATAATATAATTAAGTGTCAGAATTGCATAACTTGCGTATTATGTATTATTATTTTATTATAAATATCTACCGATCAGATTTATATAAAATAATGATCAAATGTTTAAAAATACTGACTCAATAAATAGCAACCATAGAATAATACATGTTCAATATACGAGGTCAAGGGATGGGGATACTTCTTTGATGAGGAGATATTAATGTGTGTGTATGTATGTGTGTATGTATGTGTGTATGTATGTGTGTATACAAAACGATTACTATAGCAATTCTTGATATTAGAACCTTGATTGAGTCTTAACAATGACCGTGTTATTTGCTGTTGAATCGTTGATTTATCATTTTTGAAATATTCATTGTAATTCATCAATGAACAATTTCCAAATGCTTTAATCGATTATAAAAGAATTCCAATCGTTTAAATTCCAACGAACTACTTTCCATAACTTCATAACGTATATTGAAAAGATTTCATTTACTTTAATGGAAGTTTAAAAGCTAATGATATACGGTATGACAATAAAATATTATAATAATGAAATAAAAACTATTAAAAATATATATCCGAAAGAATTTTGTCGACGTTTGCTATTATACTCGAAAATTATTATTAAACTCATGTTTAAAAGTAATTTTTCGGAATTTATTACTTAAGATTAACGATTAAAGAAATTACTAGAATCCAAAACGATCGTGAAAATTGAAAGTATTATAATATATTGGATAACGGGATCATTTACAAATAATTTTCAAAGATATCGTATTAATATCCATTTTGATTTTATTCGATTGAAATTTATTAAAGCATTTAATTTTCCAATTCGTTAGACATTATCAGCTTCTTCGAGGGTTTCGCTTTTATCCTTTGTACTTCTATTATATTGATTAAACGTTTTACGGTGTAACACTTGATAGCAGGAAACTACAAACGATATCTTTCTCTTCGATCTTCTTATTTCCTTCCGTAATCGTATCTTTACTTTTTATTAAGAAAAAGAAAGAAGAAGAGGAGAATAAGAAAAGGAGAGAGAGTGAGAGAGTGAGAGAAAGATAAAGGCAGCATTATTTTTTCGTTTGAAAAAGAATATAATAAGATTTGCATTGTTCGAGAATGCCATCGAATTCGTTAGACTTTGATGGAAAAGAAAACGAATGATAAAAAAACAAAAAGGAGATAATTGCCTCGTTGAATATTCAACGATGATGTAAAGTATATCGTATTAATATTAATGTGTCAAAATAATTATGAATTTTTAAAGTAAACGTTTAATTTTTATTCTTTTTTCCAATAATATTATACATATATTTAATTGGATATAATATATATTATATCCAATTAAATATACGTTATTCTCGATTATAAAATTTATAGATATTTTTTATTCGTTATTAAATCAAACAAATTGATACTAATATGATAACTATAATTGATACTATATTATCTTAATTGATAATAAATTATGTAATATCATTGTATATAAATACACACTGGTCTTTCACGTTTTCCGAAAGTACAGAAATAAAAGATTAAATTTAGTCAGAAGGATATATAGAAAAAAGAAGGAAATAAAAAAAAAAGAAAAAGAAAAAAAGAAAATTAATCAGTAGCATCACAAAATTTTTGATATAAAAAAATTTGATTAAATGATATTGTGAATGACGTTAAATATGTTTCTAAAATAATATTCAATGTGAACGAATCGGGAAAATAAACGAGTATATAGTATAAAGAAAAGATAGAGTACATAGAAAAACACGAAAAAAAAAAAAAAATAAAAAGAAATATTAAAACAAATATAAATCTTAATGCACTATTTTGCATAAGTATAAAAAATATATTATAATTAATCTATGTATCGAAACAAAAGAATGCATTATGAAAAATTGACGAATATATATTAGTGAAAACTTTTCATTATGTAATTTTTTTTATTATGTAATATTTAAGTGGTAGGAACTTGAGACCATTCGAAGAAGAAGGATATTTATATACATAGATGACGTTTTGTGTACACATACACACGCGCGCACGTGCATTTATATCTCCAACAACATGGAATTGTGAACCCTCCTTGAAAAATAAGTCAAAGGTTCAAAGGGTAAAATGGGCTAAGAGAAATTCGAGTACGTATGATATCGAACGTTTCATTTAGCTTTTTTTTTTATTTTCCATTTAATGAAAACACGAGAGCACTTAGGATCGTTCATGTATTTAGAAAATGTCGCATGTTCATACACATGGGGATAAAATCATTGAATAATCAGAGAAAAAGGAAAAAACAATATTTATTACTTATAACAATACAACGTTTAATTTATAATTTGTAGTATAAAATTTTGTTAAAATGAAAATTATAATAATCTAATCGTTCTATTATCACCGTTTCAATATTTATTAATTTTAATTAAACTAGATTATAATATACTATACTCTATATAATTAATATACTCAAGTAAATATAATATAGTATACTATATTATACTAATATATAATATACATATAGTATATTACTATACACTATAGTATACTCTTACATACTACAATATTATACTAATATATTGTCATATCATTAGTATAATATAAGTATGTATTTATTGTTAGTATAATGTGTGTGTATATTTATGCACATATATACACACAAAATAATAATATATAATAATAATAATATAATAAAGAAGTTAGAGTAATATAATTTTTGTTTAAAAATTTATTAAAAAAAAAAAAAAATAGATCATATGTTATCACTTTTTTACGATCACTATACATGCATACTCAAGGTATATTTTGTGTTCTTTATTTTTTTATTATTTCTTTTTTTTTTCTTCTTTTTAAGGATTGGTCAAACTGGGCGTCCACTGCGTGTTGGGCAAGAAGGTGGCGATCAAGATCATCAACCGCGAAAAATTGTCGGAGTCCGTGTTGATGAAAGTTGAACGCGAGATCGCCATTATGAAGTTGATAGATCATCCCCATGTTCTCGGCCTTTCGGACGTTTACGAGAATAAGAAATATCTGTGAGTAAATAACTTTTCTTTCTGTTTTTTTTTCTATTTTTACAAAGCTTATAATTTAATAATCTTCGATCGATTTGTTTTATTTCGTCAAGTTTTAATTGTTCAAGTTTCGTCACATTTTAATCGAAGAGAGACGAAAAAAACGATCGAACGATTAATTCAATTTGATACAGTTCGTTGACCTCCTTACGTCTATCTTTTTGTATGTTTTTTTTGTCCTTTTTTTTTTTATTTTCTTCATTCTTTTCTCTATGTACGATAGATACCTCGTTCTGGAACACGTCTCAGGTGGAGAGCTCTTCGATTATCTGGTTAAGAAGGGCAGATTAACGCCGAAAGAGGCCAGAAGATTTTTTCGACAAATCATTTCCGCATTAGACTTTTGCCATAGCCATAGCATATGGTAAGTTAAGCCATGTTTTTATTTTTTTATTTTTTCATACGATAATATTGCAACATAAATGGACGATATGATCAATACGAATGTGACTGAGATATAAGCTAGAATGAAAATTATTTTTCCACAAAAAGTCGGTTATATTTTTCATATTATAAAAAAAATATCGAAATTCTATTATACCTATGAAAACTTCTTGATTTTTATGTCCGTTGAACGAAGATTTTAAAACAGATTTAAAAAAAAAAGAAAAAAAATTCGATACATCATAAATTTCTCATATTTTCTTCAATGTGAAGAAAAATATTTATCACAAAAGTTTTTCTCGATACAAATGATCGAAATCTTATGGCATTGTTCTCATTAACGACGTTCGATTGTTATTCGTTCTATTTGTTATTATTTAATAATTCTAAAATGTAAAATAATGCAAATAGAAAAACCTTATTAGATATCAACACTTATGGATATCCGTAAAACGTAAATACAATTTACAAACCGTCTTTCTCCATCCCCCTATATCTCATCTTCTTCTTCTTCTTTCGATGAGGCCTGCTAGGGACCACGTGCCAATTTCATTTCTTCACACTTAGCTGTTCTCTTTTCCGTTCCCTCCAATATTCCTTCATCTTTTCACTATGCTGTTTTCTGTCCTCAGACCATTTCGCACCAGGTTTCTTCTTCAATCTTCCTTGGAATCCTTCCATGCTTAATACCCTCTTTCTAAAAATCTCTCTGTCTATAATTTCTTCTTCACTTATATTATTTCTTTTTAGATCTTTCTTTACTTCTTGAATCTAGTTAGTTGTTATCTTTTTCTCCCAAAGGTACATGAGTATTCTTTTTGTTAATCTGGAATCATCCATTCTATAAATATGGCCAAAAAATTGCAGTCTTCTTCTCCTTATCTTTTCTGTTATGCCTTTTATGTTCCTGTATATTTCATCACTAGATCTTAATTTCCATACTTCTGTTGTTTTCACTGGACCTAAAATTTTCCTCATGATTTTCCTTTCTAGTACTTCTAGTTTATCTAATCTATAATTTAGTACCAAACATTAACTCGCGTATAAGCATTCCAATTTCACTACTGTAGTGTAGTGCCTTATTTTAAGATTTTTAGATAAACACTTTTTGTTATAAAAATTCTTAGTGATATTATACGCCCTTTCCCTTTTATGTACCCTTTCTTCTACTGCAGATTTTTCTAAATCATTTTCTTGAATTATTTCTCCCAGGTATTTGAATTTCTTTACTTTTTTCACTGGACTAATATCTGTAGTCAAAAACTATCTCGACGTTTGTAATAAATTTAGTTTTTTCTACGGAGATTTTCAAACCTACTTTGTTGGCTATTTCTTACAAGAGATTGATTTGTGTTGTTGCACTTTTTAGGTTGTCTGACACTATAGCAAAATCGTCTGCGAATGCTAGGCAACTTATTTCAATGCCTTTATTTTTTCTCCCCAAAGTTACTGGCGAACTGTTATGTTCTTTTAGCTTTACATTCCAAATTCTGACAATTTTTTCTAGAACACAGTTGAACAGAAAAGATGATAAACCATCACCTTGCCTTACACCTGTATTTATCTCAATAGGTTTGGATATCTCACCCATAAATTTTACTTTTAAAATCGTGTCAGTAAGTGTTTCATGTATTAAGTTTGCCAATTTATTTTTAACTCCAAATTCACGTATCGTTTTATCTATGGTTTCTCTATCAACCGAGTGAAGTGACTTTTTAAAATCTATAAAAGTTACAACTATCTCCTTTGAATTCAGTATCCTATGGCGAATTATGGATTTTAAATTAAAATCCATATTTCTCCTATACCTCATATTATAATAACATTTTATTAAGAAATCTATTTAAAGTAAATACGTAATATTCTTACGTCAGGCACAAAGACTAACTGACACGATTGTCGTCTATATGAGTCTACTATATGAATTCTACGAATTGGGTTAAGGATTCGTTCTTAGTGTTTAGCGGGGACAGAGAAGGGAGGGAGAGGGAGAGGAAAGAAGTGGGAGTTAGGAGATGGAAGGAATTGTAAAAGGAAACAAAACAAAGGGCAGACGATGAGAGTGAAGTTCGAAAAGGCCTAGTTGGCAAAGAGTATCGGGAAAACTGGAGTTCAATCGAATAAATTTTCTCTTCGCGATGGTAGACCTAATTTATAGACGAGAGGTAGGACAAGAAGGAGGAGAAAGAGGAGGAAAAGGAGGAGAGGACACCTTCGTAAGATTGGTTCACTCGATCGAGAATATAATGGGGCGTAGAATACCTCAGATCAACTTTGAGCTAAATTAAAACATTACGTGATTTCGTGAATTCTTTTTTTTTTTTTTTTTTTTTTTTTTTTTATAACGCAAATACGTTTTTAAACCTATCGGATTATTATTTCCGAGGGTATAAATATTACAGTACTTTATTTGGAGTCAAAATTATTCATTCTATATTATAAATCACAATAGCTGTTCAAAGTGCCTGCTGGGATGTATAGCGCATCCCAAAGTGCACAACTTCGAAATTACTTTGAGGTATGCGCAAACAACTAGGATTATAAATACATATTTAAACTTATATCAATCATTTGTTGAATTTAACACAAGGCTAAATCTAAGGTGGCCATCGTTCTTTTATTTTTTTCAGTCATAGAGATTTAAAGCCTGAAAATTTGTTATTGGATGAGAAGAACAATATTAAGATAGCGGATTTTGGGATGGCGTCGTTGCAGCCAGCGGGTTCAATGTTGGAAACAAGCTGTGGCTCGCCCCATTATGCCTGTCCGGAAGTGATCAGAGTTAGTTTCTTAATATGATCGTATGATAATGTATTCTCATTTTGACAAACGATTCTTTCGTAATAAAACAAAAACAACAACAACAATAAAAAAAAATAAATAAATAAAAAAGAATGAAAAATAAGAAAAACTCATTCTTTCATTTATTACAGGGAGAAAAATACGATGGTAGAAAAGCAGACGTATGGTCATGCGGTGTTATACTTTATGCACTTTTAGTTGGAGCTTTACCCTTCGACGACGATAATCTAAGAAAATTATTAGAGAAAGTTAAACGCGGAGTGTTTTACATACCACACTTCGTACCACCGGAATGCCAGAATCTACTTCGAGGAATGATAGAGGTTGATCCGGACAAAAGATTAACGGTAAGCTACTTACACAATGGCAAATCGAATTTCTCTCTTCCCCTCGCATTCCCCTCCCCTCTTCCCTCTTTCATCCCACCTATTCCATTTACCATAACATACGATCGTGTTCCTAATACTTTATTTTTTCTATTTTCTTTTTCTTTTTCTTTTTTTTTTTTTGCTACATTCTCTAGTTTTTTTCTATTTTGTTTTAATTTACTAATCGTTCAAATTAAGCACAAGAAATATAATAAAGTATAATATACTCCACGTACATACATCGTAGATATAAAATAAATATCTGCATCCTATGTGAAAGTGCACATAAAATAAAATATATATTGCATAAAATAAAATAATAAAATAAATATATGTACCCTACGTATACTAAATGTATAAAAAAACATATATATATATACATCCCCAAGTGTATTATAAATATAAAAATAAATATATATTATACTATATATGTTATAATAAATTTATAATCATGTATAGTACGGATATAATACATATCTATAAGTATGCAACGTGTCATCTCTTTTTGTTCTTTTTGAATGAATCTTTTTAATCTTTTAATCTTTTAATTTAATCTTTTAATTTAATATTTTGAATATTTTTATAATATTCAAATAATATCGCACATAACGATATTATTTTTCAGCTTGCCGAAATAAACAGGCACCTGTGGGTAACGGCGGCGGGGAAAGGAGAATTAGAATTGGAATTATCGATGATGGACGTGGTGCAAACGCACGTTCTTCCGTCCGTTGACGCCATCGATCCCGACGTCTTGCAAGCGATCGCCAGTTTGGGATGTTTCAAAGAACGCGATAAATTAATTCAAGAACTTCTTAGCCCGAAGTAAGAGATTTTCAAAAGGAATTATAAAAGATTAATATAGAGAAGTATAACAATTAGATTATTATACGTTCAATCAATATTATTTTATTAATCGTAAGTATTTTGTAAAACAAATGATCAGTATTTATGAGTATAATTTCAATAGAATGTTTGAAAATCGAGCATTAGCTTTAACAACAACAAAAAAAAAAAATATGAGAAATGACCATATCCTCGCTAAAAATATTCTAATTTTAAAAACTTATTCTCTTTATATTCGTACGATCGAAATCATAATCATAATATATCGAATCGATTTATTTAGTCAATCTCTCGATAACAAATTCGATCGAATTTCGAATATTTTTTCCCGTACATGTCTCTCCTTTATTTATTTATTTTTTTATTTTGTTTTGTTCCCTTTTCTTTTCTTTTTCTTCTCTTACCGCGATATCAATTGTATGATTGTTTTTTTCTTTCTCTCCTCCTTTTTTTTCTAGTCATAACACGGAGAAAGTGATATACTTTCTCTTGCTCGAAAGAAAACGAAGGAGGCCAGCATGCGAGGATGAGCTCGAGGTAATGAGAGGTGGTGTAAGAGGATCCGGGGGACAATTGGAAGCCGATCCACCAAGAAAACGAGTGGATACGTGTCGTGTTAACGGCAGTACCGCGTTAAATCTTGGACAAATTAGTCATGGTTCACCTTTGACACCAAGAAGACAGTCAAGGTAAAATTAAACAACTTTTAAAGAGATATTGGCTTTGAAAAAAAAAAAAAATGAGAAATGACTATATCCTCTTTAATAATATTTTGATTTTAAAAACTTATCTTCTTCATATTCGTGTATATTACATTAAAAAGCTTCTCCTGTAATTATTTCAAAATCAATTTTTCAATTGAGGACAAGTTAAAAGCATTGACACTTTTAAAAATATTATATTATATTTTCTATTACCATTTTACTACCATTCTTTGTTTTTTTTTGTCTTTTATATATATATGAATATTTGGATCAGTAAACCATGAAGTATCAAAGATGCGTCATTATATATTAGATATTAATATTTTATTATAAATATTGATTAGATTTATTTAAAAATATCGAAAGGAAAAGAATATATTGAAAATAACGACGGAATAAATAATAGCCAAATTAAAGATGATTTTACATATTCTTTTTCTATATCTTTCTTATTTTCTTTCTCTTTCTCTCTATTTTCTTCTACTTTCTTGTTTCCTTTATTCGTGCTTTTATTCACGATGACAAGGCATATTTCTTTGTAACGAAGAAAAATAACAATGTTAACGACGGCGAACGTCTTATCACAACTCTGACCTAGATCTTGGTTCTATCACTTTTCGATCACGGTACAGTGAACATTCGGCTTTAAGGAAACTCAAATAATTATTATATTTTGTTATAATTCTACAGCTCTTTCTTTCAGTGATATCTTTCTTCTTGCTTTCTTTCCTTTTTTATTTGCTTTATTTTCTTTCTTTTCTTTTTTTCTTTTTTTTTTTCTATTATCAATTATTCGTTTTTTTGTATTCAATGAAATATCACAATATCAAACGAATTGTGGATAGCAAAAAAAGTATGCATTGGCTTTGATTTTTTTGAACAAAAAAAGAAAAAATAATTACATTTTGCTAGAATTTCAATTCTTTTGTCTTTTTTATTCCTTTTTTTTTTGTATACAATGAAATATCATTATTTCAAATGAATTTTCGATCACAAAAAAAGTGAGTATCAGCTATGACGAGAAGTAATTACATTTCCTCCCTACAATTTATTGCCTTTTTTTTTTCTTCGTTCATTTCTTTTTTTTTTATATTGAACGCACATAATTTCAATAGAATACTTAACGGAAGAAAAATCGAGCATTAAGTTTGAAATAAATAATCAGAAATAATTATCTCCTCGCTAATAATATTTTGACTTGAAAAACTTATCCTCATCGTGCATACATTCATCGTACATTAAATGCTTCTCGTGTAATATTATTTCAAAATCAATTATTTTCGATCATGAACAAGCGAAGAACATTGATACTTTAAAAACAAAAACAAAAAAATTATACATTACAAACGCATGAAAAATATATTATATAAAACGGGAAAAGAAACAAATAAAATATGATCGTCTATATGCCTGATCGCTATAATTTTTTTTTTTTCTTTTCTTTTTTCGTTGCAATCAATTTCTTTTTGTTCGTTTTTTTTTCTTCTTCTTCTTTCCCAAAAGCTAATCGATTTTAGAAAAAATTTTTTTTTACCAAGCCACGCTTACTAACTATAATGGACATAACCGTAATTATCAGGAAGGAAAACGTAAAAGCTTACGGACATCAGACCGACGTTTAATCGCTCGAAGCGAAAAAGCAAACGTACACGACCTTAGCTTTACGCTGCAATATCGCGTGACTTTGTTGTTACGCCTTTGGACGTGTCGCGTGCTCGATATCACACGCGTTTCCCGTTTCTTTCTTTTCTTCTTTTTTTTCTTTCTCTTTCTTCCTTCCTTTTGTTTATCTCTCTCTCTCTCTCTCTCTTTTCCTTTTACTTTTCTTTTTTCATTGTTTTCTTTATTTTCCTTTTCATATCCTCGCGCGTTCAGCAAGCCGTATAAGTTTTATACGGACGATTAGCACGAACACACATATCCACGGGCTTCTTCTAATGACTTATTATTTATTCCCTTTTTACTTCCTTATATGTTATAATATCGAACTCTCATGATCATGTAAACTTGATTTAACGATAAGATATGACCCAATTGATCATGTAAAAGCAACTTAAGAAGTTATATATTTATTTTCTTTTTTTCTTTCTTTTTTCTTTTTTTTTCTTCTCTTTCTTCTCAAGGTACCACCACGTATCATTACTTGTTATAATAATTATTAATATAAATGATCAAT